TACAGCCGCACCGGGGCGCGAACAGTAATGGAACTGTCGCTCTGGATCTGGTACCGTCGCTTAAGGAACTCGAACTCGTCCCCAGGCTGCTGGTAGGGGCCGGCAATCTTCACGGTGTACCTGTTGGTGAGGTCCTTCTCCACCCGGCCATGGGGCTCAGCGTCCCCGGTGGCCATAATATCATCCACGTGCACCTGGGCCACGTAGCGCTCGCCATTGCCACTGGCTCTGTAAAGGGTCGGCACCTCTGGCATGGATTCCAGGCTGTTGTTGAGGTCGCCGGCCAGCTGGTGATACCACTCTTGGGCGCCTCGCCGCTGTCCCGGCAGCACTCGCCCAAGCTTCCAGGTCTTGCTCGCACCGAACTTGCTCACGTAGGACCGCGGGGCCGTCACAACCACGGGCTCGTCCTCCGGCTGGGCAACACAAAGGTAGGCGTCCTTGACGTCCATAATGTAGATTGGGGTGCCCCACTTCTGGGCCAGAAGTGGCACCAAACGCGCCAGGGTACTCACACTCGCTGCCGTCGGGTCCCTTCTTCCACGTCTTCACAAAGACCGTGCTGAGGTGCTCGGCCTGCTCCTGGGGGTTCGGCTCCATAAGCACGTTCATGCTCTCCAGGCGGGTGAGCTCCTCAATCTCTGCTTGGTCGTCCAGCTCGGCAAGGTCCTCGGGGCTGAGGTCGGGCGGCTGCTCGCCTTCAAAGTCCTCGGCCTCACCATACACGGTGTTCTCCCAGGCCTCGTGCCAGGCAGCGTCCACGGTCTCCACCACACGAACCGCGAACTCCTCATCAGCATCCATGGCCTCGTTGGGGCCCGGTTGGTGCACCACCTCGGCGGGTTCGGTTGTGGCATCCTCGCCGCCTCGGCCTTGCGCTTGGTCGCTGGGCTGTCTCCAGGCCCTTCTCCACTGCTACGGGCTCGGTCGGGGCGCTCAATCGGAGACACAGACCGCGGCGAAAATGACGGTGAGAACGACGGGCTCCTCGATGGGCTTCTGGCTCTCGACGGGCTTGGTCTTGCACTCCGCGACGGGCTTCTCAAAGGCGCCACGTCCTTCGGGTCGGCTGGGCGCAGCTCCTCTGAACTGTCGGTGTCGGCCTCCTTGCCTTTGGCTGCTGCCTCGACTGCTTGGGCCTCGTTGTCCTCCTCTGGCAGAAGAGGGTGCCCTGGAGGAGCGCCAAGAGGTAGCTGAACTCCTGCTTCAAGTGTTGGGGCTGCTTCGGCTCGGCGCGGCTCCTTCTTGCGCCGTCGGGGTTGCTCCACATGGTCTCGGTTCCAAGGCCAACCAGTGATGCACATGTCCTCCACCTGGTTCGCTGTCAGCTGTTGCTCCTCGGTGGCTCGGCGGACGCTCTCGCTCTGGATGTGGCCGTAGGTGGTCATCAGGTGGTTCGCCCCGGAGGTGGTACTCATACCAACCCATAGGCCTTTAATCCACCTGGGCTCGCCCTTGTGTGTCCGCAAGACCTGTCCAAAAACAGTTTCCCCAAAAACGCAAAGGGCCTTGGTGAACTTCCGGCCGCCATACGCCAACTCGTAGGGGGTCTGCAGGACTCCAGGCAACACATGGAACCGGTTGTAAAGGAAAGCCCCGTGGACCTGGGCCCAAAGCTTCAAAGGCGTGTCCGCCGGGAAAGTCCCGGCCTTGAGCTCCAGGGCATGGAATAGGCACGTCCCCAAACGCCTCACGGTTTGCACTGCACGCTCTGCTCCTCCATTGCTCTGGTGGGCCGCCACGGGCGTAGTTCGCTGCAAGGTTTTCTTCCCAAGCTTGCTCCTGGCTGCGGCCACGGCTCGGGCGACAGCCTTGATGGCAGGCTCCCCATCGGACTGTAGAATCACAGCCTCGTCGCCATGGAGGGAAATAGTGAAGCGGGTGACCTCCTCAGCCGCCCCGTGCAAAATAACTGCTCCTTTGTTGGGGCCCGGCACGGAAAGCACCATCTTGGTCTCGAGGTCGACCCCAATCAAGCAGCACGTGTCCTGCTCACCTTGTCCGGCTGGCCTGGCGTGGTCGTCGAGGGAGGTGAAATAGAAGTCGATTTGCACCACCGGCACCTTGGTCTCGCGGTTGGCCCCTGTGTGGTGTGCGTCGGCTCGGCTTCTAGTCGCCACGCAGCTTTCGCACCATCGCTGAAAAGGCACGTGTGTCAAATTGTGGGCTGCCACCTCCTCTGCACTCGGTGGGCCTTCTGGCTGTGAGCGTGGTACTGGGTCCCTTCTGTCCAGACCTTGGAGCTGCTCTGCGGCATTATTCGCGGCATACGCCTCAAGCTCCTCTTGCTCCAGACCCTGCGGCAGCATAGCTGGCTCATCGCCCTCGGGTTCGGGACCTTGGTGTTCTGCGGGTTCTCGTCCT